TCCAACACCTTAATTCATAAACACATGTTGGCTTGTGGCCACAACTGACCTGTATTGTTTTACATATTGTGTATCCTTGCATCATGTCCACCATTGGCCATAGGATATAGTCTTCCAGCCCATGGTAATCCACTTTTGCTGATTCCATCGCACAGGAATTGCACGCAGATCTGAACATTAAGGCATAATCCATGAAGGGGAAGTGATAGTTGAAAAAGTCCCCTCTGTATAGATCCAGCCAAGATATGTTGAGTCGTTCTGGCAGGAATGTAGGTCATTACATGCACTGTTTTTAAATGAAGTCAACAACTGCACTGAAGGAGAGCAGCAGGAGTGAAGAGTGAAAAGAGGATTTGCCAGTCAGCAGCCACTCTCACTGGCCTACAAAGCTGATCATTGGCACCAGGACAACTTTAAGATAATTGCAACAATGTCAACCTTTGACCGAGTCAATTTAACCTTTAAAATCACAGTTGACATTTTATTGAAATAGAATTACAATAAATGCTTTTTAATTTGCTCTCTCTTTTATACTCTTCATATTTCTTTTTAATGTACTCCCATTCAAAGAGATTAAAAGCAGTGTTAATGCCTCAATATTGCCTTCATGCTCTTGGCTATGTCAATATGCATTAGAGCCATAAGAGCAAAAAGTTCAAACATTACCTAAAAGCCTACAAGGCCAGGCTGTAAATAATCACACACATGGGAACAGAACCCTGAGGTGAAATGCTTTTCAGGTTCACAATTTTTCATTCCAGTCCTGATTAAAATGCTATTTCCACACAATTATATTTGTGCTTAATGTCACTTCATCATACTCTGTGGTTGCTTCTTGATTGGCTTAGAAATACTTCAATAGGGCAATTATTAAGGCAATTATAACCACTGTTATATCTGCTTTTTCAAGACAGGATTGTCGAGGACAAAGAGGTTTTCTGCCATGTTTTTTTTTCTTTTTTTCTCTATAACACAAACAAAGTTAACTGAAAGAAATATAACTTTTCTTTCCTCTTCCCTATACAAAAGTTGGCCATTGGAGATAATTGATTGAAACATCTTTTTAAAGAGTCTAATTGAAGATATTAAAAGCAGTGATATAATTTGTTGCTTAGTGTCGTCACTTTAGTCTTATTCTGGTTTCTGCTACTTCAGGCTGGTTAATGTTATCACAAGTCAAGTAGTAATTCTGTAACAAATGCAAAAATGTTCTGGTCATTTGTAGATTTTATTAGCAATTTGAGCCATACAATTGCCTTGAAATGTGCTGGATTTGGTGATGGTGTTTCCTAATTTAAAGTATAATACATAAATGAATTACTCTATTTAGACCAACTGTACTTTAAACCTTTCTTTTTTTTTGTTCACTTATTTTGTCATTTTGTTTGTCAACAGTATATATTTTAAAATCATGACATAACCACAACATCGGCGATTGATTGTATCAGTAAGATAAGAAGAGAGGAATTGAATTATCAGGAGGAACCAAAAGCAAAAAAGCAAATATCAGGCACAGCAATATCAGGAAGTGTGCCGGAATAGACAACCATCCCTCAGTATTAATGAGGAAGAGCACTTACTGGGCTGATACCATCAACAGGTCTGGGGTGCCTACGGGTTTAAGCTGGTTAAAGTTTTTGAGACGTGCTTTGCTAATTGCGTCCAGGCCCCTTAGGCTGATCTAATGGATTCCCATCTGTCCAACCGTGACTGCGTGGCTCAGATCTTTCTTGCTGATTACTGTGCATCTAAAAATAGCCTAAGGGTCTAAGGCAATTAGTTCTACAGTACTATAACTGCTAAAACCAATACCAGCATCTAACACTTGGTAAGTATATAGTAAAGCACATTTATGAGATGAAACACAAGAGTTAATCATTGGTGATCGTTCTGATATAACACAGCCCTTGAGTTCATAATGGGCAATTTAGGTTAATGCCTGTGAATGTCATTCTACTGCACAAATCTGTCATTTAATTTAGGTTCTCCATTTGAAGGGCACTTTAGCTTGTGTCCTGAGGGGGGCGTTAGGATGAATTAGTTTGCTAAGGTAAAAAACATAATGCTAATTATGCAATAAGCCAAAGGAGTGATGCTTACCGTGATTTTAGAACAGATAAGGGGCGTTGTTGAGCATGATGCAAAGTAAGGTAGTTATTTAAGGCTAGCCGCTTTGGCTGTCCTCTAATCAGGTGATTCACACACATACTCACGCCAGACCTGAAAAAGAACTTACCAATTAACCTTGTTAAACGTTTCACTTAAGTTGGACACAAATACCTATTACCGTCTATTGGTGTTGTATCACAGATGCACTGTGTTATGTGTGTGTCGTAACACTCTTAGAGTTCAAGAAGATGGTGATTGCATGATAGCTTTTGGTGGCAGTCTCACAAAGCTCTCAAAGGTGAAGGTGTGTACAGGTCAACTAGGGACAAGGTAAAACAAAGACCAGTGCAGAGATTTTGCTGGAACACTTTCACGATAATTTTGGGTTTTAAAATCTTCAATGTGTTGAATCAAAGAGTTTTGCCAAATCAAAAAATAAGCATGCAAAGGATTATGACACAATGGATTTCAGCCCATATACCTACACATTGAGGTCCTGTATGGTAGGGTGATAATAAGGAGCACTGGGCAGGTTTATCTTGTAACTTTATCTTGCACTGGGTCGTTATGACCCTGCAGGAATAAATGCCTATTTAAAATGAATAAAGCTTCCTTAAATGTAAATGATATGTCCAAAGCTAATGTAAAGACTTTTCCTTTATCATTTTAATAGGATTTTGATAGAGCTCTGAGCTTGTTCGACAAGAAATGTAAGGCTAATAGCCATCATGTCACCTGGGCCTGTCCCCAATAGGCCCATGTTATAATCCATCCATGCAACAATCCAGAAATACCTGTCAGCTTTTAGGACTCCCCATTTTCTGCACAGTCCTATCACTAAGTTTCTACTCTTGTACTGAAATAAAAACATAAATACTAGTAGTGGTCACAGGTTTATCTTGTAATAAAAACCTCCAAAACCCTTAGCTGTAGCTTAGCTGTCATTAGCTCAACATAAGTAAGATGGTATTATCCTTTTCAAAAAGAGTACCACAACATTTTCTATCTTAAAGGGGCTGAATAATTAAAGAGATGACAGCAGCAGAAGACAACAAAAATAGTGTCACATAAACAACTCAGGGATCTGATGGCTCAGTGGGGATAAGAGACCCTGGGAGTTAAATGCTTTAGTGGTCTGCCGAGAAGCACCAAGTCTGTCGCCAAGACTGGTTTACTCATGGCAATCTCCAAACTGATTTTCAGACTCACTGCTGTCCCCAACTGGTAGAAGACAAACATTTCCAAAAGCAGGATGTCCCATCCACAGATACAGAGAATAAAGAATACATATTTTTGATTAATTATTTTATAGCCTGATAGTCAGACTGAATTTCGATTCACTCATAAATAATTGTTATGTATTCTTGCATTGCTGAAAACAAATTAGGCAGGACATTGTCTGAATGGCTGCACTCAGCTCTGCAGAAATTAGGATATATGATGTATGATCATTTAAAAGGAAATTCTAGCACAAAATAGGTTACAATCTAAATCCACTGATTATGAGAAAGCATGTTGTTGACCCAAAAGGCAGGAAGAGATATCATTTAAAATGAAAGTGTCTAACCATGGGATAATTGTATTCCTCTGAAAGCAATGTATTCAAACACAAGATGAACATTGTCTTTTTTTTTTAAATACTTGAAATTAAACTAAGCCTATATCACATAACTTTTCATATTAGACAACTATCATAATTTTGTGACGTTGTGTTTCTTTTCACACATAAATAATACCATTGACTGTAACTTAGCAAATGATAATGTGGATAGTAGCCTACCCTATCAGCAACATTACTCAATTTATATAGGATATTAAAAAAAATTCCAATACATTCATACTGCTGTAAAATTAAAGCATTTGTCAAAAGTAATGGCAAAGTTTCTCATTAATATGGGTTGCGATGTCATTTTTCAAGATTGTTTCTCATAATTATATGTTACAGGATATTATTTTTGTACTCGCATTGTCGTAAATTGTCTTCCATAAACATCTGATGAAGTATTTGCATGATATGCAATCAATCTTTCTAATGTGTTTCGAATAGTCTGCACTTCAAACATGACAAAAGCTACTATCCATCGGTGGGCTGTCACATAGTACTAACAGCTAGCAACCAGAGGAACAGTAAGTAAGGCTGTTACTAAATGTGTCTTTGAATAGTTTACCTTTAGTCAAAGGGGCTGAAGGGACCCGCACGTATGCCGCACACTTTAAGGATTTTCCTCACTTCATGGTACGTAATTTTTTTACATTTATTTACGTTGTTGTGATACGCGCAGCCAGGGGAATCTCGTTTAGCAAGTCAGGCAGATAGCTAGCTAACGATAGCATACTTTGCTATTAGCATAGATGAATGCTAGCTCTGAATTATAGTTACTTTATGTATATATATATACACAACATATACATATATAACCGTATGTTTTCATTACGTCTAAACCTTATTGAAATCCAGGGGTTAAAACACTATCAGAGAGCACACATTTAAATGAAAACATGTAACAGCTAGCTATGCTAACATTAGCCTTACATTAATTGACTGGAAAGTGTCGTGATTTCTGTCACAACAATATTTTATAAATACGCTCTTGCTTTTCACGTGTCAGGTAAACTTTAACACCGGGTATTTCCCGTTTTTATTTAGGTTCAAATATCATTTTAATGTCAACAATATTTATTAGGTCATCGGCTAATTTGGGCATACTAACTTCCACAGGCCAAAGACAATCCAGCGGTTTTCCTGATTTTTCGAAGACTCAGTTTGGGGCTGAAGTGCCTCAAACCTCAGTGCCTCTGTGGACCTGGAAGAGCAGCGCCGCCTTGTGACAAGCTTCCAACATGACAGGTGGGGAACACCACACTATTAAACACCTGTACTATACTTGAGGACGTATTTACGGCACTATACATTCAATGTAGCACACTGCTGAAGAAGTTGGATTAATACTAGTTGTATGAGCTGCCTGATGGAGACAGCTGATTGTGAAAATGTTTAGTGAGAGAAGCTCTGCATCAGTGCTCTAGGTGTTGGTGTGAATGATGTGTCTATTCCCGAGTGTTATGTGTGAATTTGCACTGAAAAATCACTCACCAGACATTTAGCCTGTGTTGGCATCTGCTGATAGATACATTCCTTGAACCTCAAACCCACTGACTGAATGGCTGTCCCACAGTGCCCCTCTCTCTCTCTCCATCCTCCTCTCTCTGTGTCTCCCTGTCCCTTTCACCCAGAGAGAGACTTTGGGTGGATAGTGAGTACCATTGTGTCAGTGAGATGTTTATTAATGAGAGAGGCGCACACAGAGAGCAGAGCTGCTATTGACGGACTAATCGCTAATCTCTTCGTTAATACTTCAATCTGCGTATGAACCAAGCTACATCACTGAGAAGCCTCAAGACAGGGACATGCAAACTGGTGGTCTGCAGGAAGTACATTTGGGAATTTGTTCCAGTTGGAAACTTTTTGAAAGTGAAGTTTGAGTTGGCTTTTCTGTTCAGGCTCGTCTTTTAGGACAAGTGTATGTGTCTAATGTTTATTGCGTCCAAACTGGGAAGTTGTGGATACATGTCAGTGAGTATAGTATTGAATTGAGCTTTTCTGTCAAGGAATTTTGAAGTAGTTGGTGGTAACATTTTCCGTTAGCGTTGATAGGTAATTAAACAAACATATTATAACCAGAGAATAAGGGATTTGTAGTCTACTGCTTATTCTGTTGCATTAAGGTTTTCAGTTTGAGCTTTTTGGAGGTTTACTGTGTCGATAAAAGGAGTAGTGTGTGTCTGTGTGTGTGCTTGTTGGGTGTTGCATGTGTTTGCCTGCCATGCCCTTGCCTGCGCCTGATGTCCCGGCCTCTCAGAGGCTGGCACTGGACTGTCGTACCCTTCTGGACCATCGCATTGGCAAGGGTGAGTGATAACACCACTTCCTCTGTTCTCTCTCTGGCTCCTTCTCCGTCTCTTGAACAAGGAATTATTTCACTTAAAAGGTGCTTTCTCCATGCGCTTCTAAAATATGTTATGTTGTAAAAATAACTTCAATTGAATGTTGGAGGTCTGATTTGCTATGAGCCACTTCCTGTGTTGTAAAATGGATGCAGTTTATTTTATGGATAAAAAAGGAACTTAAACTCTTGAGTAAGTCAACATAAAGAGGAACACTAGCTGTGGTATTTGGCACAGGTTGCTGTTAAACAGTGTTGACTGGGTCATTCATTTCTAGTGTGTGTGTGTTAATGTTGACTTTCATATCATCTTACACTGATAACATCTCTGTTTGAAAAGAACACTGTTCTTCCATCAGAATAAAAGAGATGCTTACAGCTCCAAAGGGAATATCGCTTATAGCAACATTTGGGGCATGCAAGATGGAGGAAAACAAAGCTTTATTGTAAACGATTATGATGATTAATTATTGAAGTGATATTGTACCGGAGTCCTGTTATTTTATCCAATAAAATAAAAGTTCACAGTAAGTATAGAGGAACTTCAGCTATCTATAATATCATTTTGTAATGTAATATCATTTAGTATAACATAACAAAATAAGATATAATATATATTTTTTGATGAGAACTATTTTTTTTTTCAGTCCATACATTTAATTTCAAGCACTCGTTCATGCTTTTACAAGGACAATGCAGCATCTCCAGGTTTATGGTTTCACTGATTTGTTGTTGTTGTTGCATTAGAGCCAATAATGTGGATGTCTGGGTTTAATGTTTGTCACATTTTTATGGTTGTGTTGTGTAATGTAGACAAGCACATTGATTTGAAAGTGTTGCTCATGAGTGAGCCAGCTGCTGAACAGTATTGTATTTATTTACTATGGTTTTGGAAAATTAAACCTGGAAGAGATTGAGTCAATAGGAACATATTGAAAATTATAATATTTCACGGTTTGAAATATAAAGAAGCAAATACCAGTAAACATGGTTTTATTAATAAAGACATTTTGGTATTTGGCTAGTAAAAAAGGAAAGACATTTTGTAGAAAGTTGCCTATGCATATAGGGAAAACTGAAAGTAAGTAGAGCAGGAAGCATGCGTGGATTAATGATGGAGAGGAGGGAAAGGGTGATGCTGGTAGGGGGTGGAGAGAGGAAAATTGCGTGGGTGGGAGGTCTTCTCCCTATCCATCCCTGTGGTGCATATTTCTTTCTTATTCTCTCCCCATCCGCCTCTTGTCTCCGTTTCCTTCTATGCAACTGAGAAGAATGATCTGAAGTGGGGGGGGGGGGGGGTGTTTGTATGTGTGTGTCTGCATGTGAAATCTGCCCCCTTCAGAAGGAGCGCTGTTGCAGAAGACGAACAGGAAAATCCAAGGTCATCACGGCACGCTTCTCTGACGTTGCCTTTCAACCCCCTTTCGTGCGCGTGTGCCTGCGTGTGTGTGTGAGTGTCTGCACGGCAGGAAAAGTGTGTGTAATTCAGTGCATCGGTCCGAGCTCTGCACCAATCACGGTGCGCATTTTAGCTCCATGCACACGTGCAGGCATTTATACCAGAGTGAGCGGTGTTTGTGTGCGTTTTCAGTGCCTCTTGGCACAGCAGTGTGTCTGTATGAGCTACTGAAGCTGCATTGAGAAAAAATAACCATTTGTAGTGAGAGAGTCAGCATCACGAAGGATGTACGGTAAGAATTACAATAATTCTTCCTATGTGTATTCGTGTGTGTGTGTTTAAGGCTTTGTAAGTATGTGAGTAATGTAAAGCATGCAGCGTTCAGCCAGTTTTCCTACATTCTACCAACACGTTTCCTCTTAGCTTTCTTGTGATAGACTGCAACTGACTAAAAGCGCATTATATGAACTTGGACTATTATGAGGATACTGCTCTATTTAATAGCTTACAAGGATACACCGCTTTGAAGATGTTTATTTTCGGTACCGGACACTTCTTTGGTCTGAACACTTTTTAATGAAATGACTTCCTTTGTTGTAGTTGAAGGGATAACAGTATGTTCTCTACACTTGTAAAATATTCAGCTCACTGTTGTTATATATGTTTTCTTATCGTTTTTCCCATTTCTTAGCTATTTTGGGTTGCACATGATAAATTCATGTTTCCTTGAAAACAGGTATAGTATATGTGCGGTTAGAAGTTTTAATTATTGGTACTTTTCTGTAAAACTTTAAGATCATGTTAAAATGTGTTTGGTGTTAGTGTTTTCTGTAGCTATGTTGTTTTTATTGACATGTTGATGTAGGGTTCATTGATTAGCGCTAATTAAAAATGTAGTTAGCTTTGCTTTGACTATGCTTGGCTAAGTAGGCTAACCCTGCAGACTGGAAGAACTAGCTCAGTAAGACAGAGTGCGTCGCTCTGCTGAGCTCCTGTATGGAAATGTGGCTCTCTGGGCTTGAGTCCCTCGTAGCCCAGTTTCAGTGCCTGTTTGACTGTGATTCATAGTGTGTCCGATCGGCCTTGTGTCATGAGGATTTGTTGGCAGCTGGGTCTGTACATCAGTATGTTGGTCGCATAATACCAGCCATGTTCGCTTCCACCCACTCTCGGTGGAGTGTGTGCTTTGAATAATACTTGCACATGGATTTATGGCTGAAAATGATGTACTGTGTATGTTTCTGCGTGCAGCGTGTCTAGAGCCTGAAGATACAGAAGGAGAGAGGGGGTAGATGGATGTTGTGGTAACACACGCAACACATTTGAATTGCTGTCATTATCTCCATGCCAGAGTGACACAAATTCACATTTCTTCCTCTTTGTCACGCTTAATGCCGTCAGCCTCTCCTGAACGATACCCACCTCCTCTCTTCAGCTCTATACAGCTCTCCCAAACTCATTGAGTGACAGCTTATGTGCATATTGGCTGGCTGTTGAATCAGCCTTACACTTCCCTCTGCGTATTTACAGATTGTTGCGTGTGCTCGTATTTTACCACGTGAATCTTCTGTTTAAAGACGTTTTGCCCGTCCTTGTTTGCTGATATAAAAATCGCAAGACTTGGTCGGTTTCCCCCCCCCCCTCTCCCTCTTATGTAATACCACCCCTGAAGGGCTACAGTCTTTATAACCATCATGAGAAGTATCATGTATTATGCACAGGTGTATACAGCAGCATGTAGGTGGCCACGGGGTCTTTGCTCCCGTTTGTGTGCTTTCTGACTCTGGCCTGTAAAACTATTGCTTTGCATGACCCCCGGGTGAAGCCGATGTGTATTGATGCCGGTGATGGTGCTCTGTCTCTTGCAGACCCGACCACTCAAACATGAACACGCATAGATCCTAAATGTGTTGATATGCTCCATGCAGGACTATATTTACCCTGTTTTATCAGCCACGTGACTTCTGGTCCAGCAGAGCAGCTCCAGGACAGCAGGTGCAGCAAGATATGCTACTTGTCACACACTCCTGTTTGTGTGTGTTATTGTAATAAGTTTGACTTTTATATCATCAAGATAAATTCCTTTTTATTGTGTTGCCAACAAGGCAGTAGCTCTATTTACACTCAGGAAGTGTGGAGGATTTTAAAATAATAAAGAAAGAAAAGACAGTCATGTTTTGTTTCTCATGCACAAACATGTCTTTCAGAGCTATGCATTTTCTTGTTTGCCTCTCCTTCTTCTCGCTTCCGGATGCATTTTCTCTCCCATCTCTCTATCTCTCTCTCGCCCTAATGTGGGAAGCGTTAAGCTGACATCCTGGGGGAAATGGAGAGTGTAATCTGTTAATGTACCAGCCCATTGTTACGGCTATAAAAACAACATTGTGATTGGCTGGCTCCTTGCTATAGTGATCTGAAGGGGTGGAGACCCCCACACATGTGTACACGTAATGCACACATTCTGCGTGGATGTGTAGCTTAGCATCCAATCAGTGTAACATGTAAGAGACATCGCTCTGGGCAAAGTTGCACCAGGCTGCAGAGATGTCCGCCTTCTCTCTATTCTCTTGTTCTGTCTCCCAACATTAACCAGTAATTCATTGTTCCGTCCTACTCGATGTGTGCGAGCACGTTTGTGTGGGTTTATGTGCGAGTGTGTATTGAGTCGCTTGGTGTCCAGCCCCTAAATGTGTTGTCAGCCGGCCATGCCGAGTGGGTGGAAGTTGTGAGACCCCCCTGTGTGTGTGTGTTTTGCACCGCTGACAAATTCTTGTCCACCCACCCTGCTGATCTCTTTTAGCTTTTTCCCACTCTAACCCACCATTATTAACACAAGAAACACTTAACAACTCAAACCAAGCACAACTCTGAAGCTATACAGTGTTCTCTAGAGAGAGAGAGAGTCATTTCCAACACAAACATGGTTTTGCAGCCCAATAACTTGAGGTACAGAATATGTTAATGTTTACAATTATTGCAGTAGCTTTTTAGATTTGCAACAATTTATCAACTTTTCAATTGGAAATAAATTGACAACAAATCGCAAAATTCAATATTCGTTCAGTCTTTTATCATGCACAGCTTTCAGCCGCTCAAATCTGAGTATTTACTTTTCTCCTTTTTATAATTTTTAAACTGAAGGTCTTTGGGTTTAGTACTGTTTATGGGCATAACGAGCAATTTGAAGACATTAATTTGGCTTTTGGAAAACAACAATTAATCAGCTTGTCAAAAGAACAGAAATGAACTAACTGATAATGAATATGATCATAAGTTGCAGTCCTATAGCATTTGTTCTTTTAGTGACCAGTGCCACTTAAGCAACCGTAACACAAACTGCTTTTTATCAAGCCTCTGAAAATTCTAAAACTATATTTTTTCTGAATGATGAATTGCCCTCTGTTCAATAAAAAACAGTTTAGACGGTAAAATAATGTATGGCATGTGTAAAATAAAATAATGATGCTCATTTACTTACTGTTAGAATAACACTGTGATTCTTACTTGCTAATGTTATCTTTATTTACTGGCTTTCACGTCTTTGCTAAGAGTTGGGGAAATTCTTGTTGAGACGATTTGTTGCAATGTTGTTGGTTACGCTCTCTGTGCACCAAACAGTATGACCTTCAACTTCTGTGAACTGAGAACATACTGATACTGCCTCCCTAAACTTCCAGAATTCTCCTTTCATTATCGCCAAGGTTTTCCCCACCTTTCTCTGTGTTTAAATATGCAACCCAAACTCTATTCGATTCGATTGATAAATACATTCCCACAACGCATGCCACTAGCTTATGAGCTAACCAACAGAAATGGCAGCCACTTTAAATTCATGCAAAAAAAGAACCTAGGAATATAAATTGCTTAATGGAAAATGTGGATGCTTGCAGTGTGCCAGAAGAGGGGGAAATAACATGTACATTGCTACACCCACTCAGCTGTTAAAACGGTTGTGGATTTTAGACACAATAGACCTAAAAGTGTATTGAACTTTTCTTACGCCATCTGACTACTCCTCCCCAGAAATCTCGTCTCTCTACTGTTGACAGAGAGAGGGCAGATTTGTGCTGGACAAGGAGATGCAATAAGTAGCGCTAATCTGTGACTCACCATCCACCTCCCCATCACACTTCCATCTCTTCAGCCGCCTGTGTCTCTGTCACTCTTTGTCCTCCACCCTTTCCTCTCTACTCCTGGGACCCGCTGCATTTTCATTAATTCATCGGCGACTTCTACACTCAGGCCCCGGGCCAACACCGAGAGGATGAGAGAAGGTGTGAGAGGGAGACTCAGTGGGTGCAGGAGGAAGGGACAGAGGGAGGGAGGGAGGGGTGCAGAGGCCTCATTAGTATTTGAAGTGATGGAGGAGAGAGGAGCAGCACTGTGAATAGACACGCCACTCTCAAAGATAAGCACCAGCCGAGCTCCTGCTGCGGACTTCAGTAGAACTTTCAGAGGCCTTGGAAACGGAGCGGCTTTTAAGTGATTAAGGCACTAAATATGCATGTTGCTCTATTAAAAGGCTTTTCAAGGACATCCTGCCTGTACTGGCTGCCCTACTCCCAAGTGTAGGTCAATGATAACATACCAGAAGGCCAGGGAATGCAGGAACGTAGCCCAGAACAGAGCGCTGCTGCATTGGCTGTGGTTTAGGACGTAGCAGGGGCCATCGTGGGTTGGTCATTTGTCTTCCTGTCCTCATGTCCTTGGGCACAACCGTCAACCCTCATATTGCATGTAGCTTTCTGCCATTGGTGTGTTAGTATCTGAATTGATCAGTCAGTGTGCTTTGGATAAAAAAGATACATTGAAATGCAGCCAAATGTATGTGTTTTCAGCTAGTAGCAGTTAAGTTGCTGCCCTATTCTAATATTTTGCGTCGGTGCTTTGTACCGCAAGGGCAGAAAGTGTTGTGTGTGTTTTCTTTCATCGTTTCCTTAGGTATGGTACTATATTTACATGTAGTCTAGATCTACAGATAAAACAAGCTCTTAAAGGGCCAGTGTAGTATTTAGTGGGACGAATTGGAAAATGGTATTCATAACTTCATATCTGCTTTTATATTGTAAAATCACCTGAAACTGAGAATTGTTGTCTTTTTGAAGTAGCCCTTCATATCTACATAGAGAGCAGCTTCTCCAAGTACCTACAGTAGCTCAAAACAGACAAACTCTGGTTTTTGCACTTTTTAAAACAAGGTTTAAATAAATAGGGTAAATCCTATCCTACTTATTAATACATTTATACATTTGGAATGATGCTTTTAATGTTATATATGTGCAGTATATACATGCCCATGGGCGCCAGATGGAAAACTAGCAATGTGCTATATCTTCTGTGGTGCATGTATCTGGGTTGTGTGTAGCAAAGTGTTGTTACAGCTGGGCTCAGCTCATCCATTTGCACTGGTGAGTCAGGCACATGGCAGCTTTCTGCCTCAATCCTCTGTGAAATGAACATAATTGGTCCATTTTATTTTGAACAAATAAATGGTGTGATTTTGAGAACATGTTACACCTGTGTTACACCTGTGTTACAGTCTGTGTGTCTCAGAGTGTGAACAGGCTCGTCTCTGGCTGTATGGGTTGGTTGAAGAGTTCCTATACAATTTGCAGGTGCATTTAAAAGATCAACTGTAGTCCTGATGTGACGACTCCACGGAGAATCTGTCTTATGTTGGATAGAGCACACTGTGAGGCATCTGGTTATCCTGTAAATGTTGGGTCAGTATGCTCTCAGAATAGGTTTTCGTGCTCCATCAGCAAAAAATGCTCCAATCTGTTTAACCACAAAGTAAAAATAATGAATAATGAAACATTTTTCCTGTGGGAGAAGAGAAGGAAGTGAGGAAGGAGGGAGGAAGGAAAGAGGAAAATATGTTTCTTTGCAGATTGTTTTTCATTGTCTTTATATTAACTAGATTTCTGCTATCTCTATTTAAAGTGTCAGCCTCTCAAACGCTTCATTAAACGTGACTGCATTGCTGAAAGCACGATGGCCTACTTTTTGTCATCAGCTTTCATATCTCCTAAACTCAAATAGCCTTTATTTGGTGTGAGCAGGAAAATAATATTTGTTATCCTGAGCTGCAACAACGGTTGAATGATGTATTTGTTTTTTTTCCTTCATTCTCTCAGTGTCTCCTTATGACTCACCACTGCTCAATTCCTTCGACCAATCACAATCCAGCTCTCCCTTCGCTGCCTTGCTTGCCTTTCTCCTCAATGCAAAGTCAGAGAAATCACTCTTCACTGTGTTGCACTTTTCTCTTCTCGGCTGTCTTGATTGCATTGATCGAGTGTGTGTTTGTGTGTGTGTGTGTGTGTGTGTGTTTGTGTGCGTGCGTGTGTGTGTGTGTGTGTGTGTGTGTGTGTGCACCATCTGAGCCGCAATGTTGTAATTGCCTTGTGACCACATTTCGTCAATATCCGGCTTTTTCTCAAACGCATTCCCACAGCATTACAGTCACTTAGGCCAAGGGACTGTTTATCAGTAGCTCCATGTTTTTAATCTGGCGATATCAATTCATCATTTGGTATTCTTGCAGAGAATTTGACAATGCAGTTTTCTGGATGCTTGCTTTTATTTTTGACCTGATTCAATTAAATCTATTAACAGAGCTCTGTCAGTTTGCATTATCTATCCACATTCAGCACCTCTCCTAGAAATACCCTGCTTCTCTGCACGTCAGCCGCTCATTTGAATTTGAACCTGGCACTCTCCACAGGCTAGAAACCCCCAGCACTTCATAACATGAGCGATGTGTACACTTATATTCAAGTGTGCCACTTTTAATAGGACCATAACAGTAGCACTGCTGAGACGAGGCTGTTATCAATAGTTGCTCGTTAGCTTACCCATCAGTATTTGATTTCTTTGCCAATACATTTTACGGTTGTTACCGCTACATGTGTTAAATGATTGTTCCTAATTCATCGTTTCATCTCAATGCTTGATTACTTATTTTTACATCACTTCATTTTCTACTTCAGTGGTGATACAGTGTGTTATTAAGGTGAAGTCATTATCTAGAGTCTGCAATCTTCCCCTTCGAACAAGTGGCTGATTTCAAACGTACCTTATTATTTCTGGACTGTGTTCTTTGGTTTGGAAAGGCTTACACAGGGCAGAGGAATAGAGGAGAGATGGAGGAAAAAGAAATGGACTTGTTGCTTGTTATTTCTCTTTGTTTTTATTGCTTTTCTGCCAGTCATGCTGCACACGTCTAATCTCTGTCATCTCTTTTACATCCTCAGGGGTTTGTGGTTGTTGCGGGGCGCTCAGGCCTCGCTACAAGAGACTGGTCGACAACATCTTCCCAGAAGACCCAGAGGTGAGAAGCTCAAGTGACTTTGTTTTTCTAATGCCTTTCTGAACCTAAATGGTTATTTTTATTGTCTGAAGTTGTGAACTCTCTTCTTTATGCTCCTATATATAAATGGTTTGCCTCTAGCCAATTCTTTTTAAAGAGGAACACTGTCTGTATAAGTTTCAATAGCTCATTAGGTTGAATACAAACAAGAACATTGCACAACAGAACACATCAAATATTAGCATAAATTGCTCTATCAGATTCAGCTTTCCATCTGTGGTCGCTGCCAGGTAAATATAAACGCAGTGTTATTATGATATTGTCTTTCAAGTAGGAAGAGTGGCTAGATGTGGTAAGAAAACATCACAAACAGCCTCAGATGTAACTATCTTCTTCAAAGCTGTTGGTATCGAGCCACATGCCCTTTCTTTTCTAGCATTTGAGATCTGATACAGATGACTCATAAAGAGAATTCATTTGGATGGAGAAGAAGCAGCTGATTTGTTGCAGAGGAAACTTTTCACAAGTGCCTCTTTGCTACTGCAGTAACCCACTTTACCAATCAGTTCTCGGCCAAAACTGCAGCATGCGGGACATACTGTTTCAAGCAGACCCCATTTAGCTGTTTTGTGTGTGTGCATCTGCACTTTGTGCACCCAAAACTGGTCTTACATTTGGCTCTAATCAGCTGTGGAAGAGACCGTAACTACCGAAATCCCAGCAGCTTGGGAATAATAAATCCATCTAATAACATTTACTCACAAATTGTGTCCATGTGGGTGTGTTCTATTCACATTTGCTGTGTTTCTCCCAGATAATTGGTGGTAAGAAGCCTAAATATAGGCTCTCCATGTGTCAGAATGTCCTCACAGTAGGATACATTACTAGTTTTAAATTGGAGTGCATATGACTGGAGTGTATCACTGGGAAGAGTCTACAATTTACTCTGCTAACGCTAACAGAAGCCTGCACTGTTTTTCCACAGAACTACAAAATGATTGAACAAAAACAAATCAACTTTTAAAACTGCAGGTTGTTGACAGCTGCAATATTCTGGCTGTGTGATCGGAGATGGATTTCCAGCCACAGGATGTTTTTGATAAGCAGACAAATCCGAGCTTTTGCCCTGTGCTGACCTCTGAAATAAGAGAGGAATAGACCCTTTTTCACAGCATGAGAATTGTTCCGGTTTCAGGGTCCTGGAATTGTGCATGTGTCGTTGCTCACTGGAAAACTTCACAAAGCCATCTTCAATGAAGCAGTAACACCTGTGTAAATATTACAAGTCATCATTTAGCTCACAGATCCCCAGCTGAGGGTTCAACATTTCAGAAATGGAAAATAAAAATATGATTATTTTTCCTTGGCTGTTAATGATATAAATAATGATGAATGATGCCCATGTATAACAGATATTATTTTTGAAGATATTTTTGCCTTACATAGCTACGTACAGAATACTTAAAGTGTACACATCAGTGCCCATGTCTCCAAAACATAACGGTCTTATATATTTCTGTTTGTGGGTGTTGCTATTTCATTGACTTCATGTTTTGGCTCCTGCCTGAATGTCAACTAGATATCAATGGACTGTAAACATTATTTAGCTCTCTCCCCGCCTGACCAAACTGAGCAGAGAAGTAGGTCAAGGGCTGGAGTAGGAGGTGAAACTTGGTGGACTAGTTATACTCTTTCAATTTAGTTTTTGAGGAGGAGTACACACACTATCAGCTCAGACATGTTTATGGAATAGAACATGCATTCTTTCTCAGTGGAAGTCAACACAAGTGTCTTAACTAGTTGCCTCTTTGTTTAGTAGACATTGGGTGTCGGTACTCAATGCCTTTTGAACAAGCCAGTACCAAATAATATCAAAAAGTCTTCTCTCTTACCTGCATACAATCCTTTGTGCACTGGATGTTAACAATGCACAGCCCTAGTGGATATACCAGCTTCATGTCAATCCGAGAGTGACTGTATTCTCATTTTTAGTAATCTACTCTTTAAGGATTTTAAACCTTGTAAAATGTATTTCCTTCGTCTTGTTTTCACCCCTTCTTTCTATCTCCCCCCATCACCCTGGCAGGATGGTCTGGTGAAGGCCAACATGGAGAAGCTGACGTTCTACGCCCTGTCAGCTCCAGAGAAGCTGGACCGTATCGGAGCCTACCTGTCTGAGAGATTGTCGAGGGATGTGGCCCGACACAGATACGGGTGAGCATCTTCTGTCAATCACAGTTCAAATCCGTTTTCAAAAGACATCTTGGCTGTCTCTGCTTGGACATTTTGCATAGTATTTATAATCTGCCACACATTAAACTTAAATTCAGCAAAGTTGAAGCTATTAAATATAACTTATTCTAAGAAATGGAGGTTATCTTGCTATGAATTAATAAGAAAAGTGGTGCCTGGAATTGCCTTCCATCAAAGAGATGCTTTAAAGGACCAGTCTAATAGTATACATTTATCATATATCCCACATGCAAACTCTATTGAGAACTGTACAATTATGCCATTGCATTTATACCAAATATTTGTTTTCTTGAACCTTTTCTGCACTCTATAATGACTGCATACAAAGTAGCCAAGTAAAAGGGGCAAGCAGTCGTGTTTTTCAACATAAAACGGCTTTAGGGTTGTGAAGCTGACCGTTGAGCGGTTATTTCTCTGCACTCTCTGTACCTACTCTAAATGCCACAGAAGTTGTTGTCTTTATGGCTAGGACGCGCTGTGATGATCTCGCCAATGCAAACAGCTTGCACAGATGACATTAACATTTGGCAGAGTCTTGCTATAATCTGTTATCTATATATGTACTTTAATATTTCCAGAGCCATGGGAATTTAGAGATTTAAAAGAAATACGCACATACTTTATTATCCATATAAGATATCCAGACACAGATATTGTCATCCAGATGTTTCTGTGTGTGCTTGCCCTCCTCCTCCTCCTCCTCCTCCTCCTCCTCCTCCTCCTCCTCCTCCTCCTCCTCCTCCTCCTCCTCCTCAGGTATGTGTGTATAGCCATGGAGGCGCTGGACCAGCTGCTGATGGCGTGCCACTGTCAGAGCATCAACCTGTTTGTGGAGAGTTTCCTTAAGATGGTGCGGAAGCTGCTGGAGTCCGATAAGCCCAGCCTGCAGATCCTAGGAACCAACTCTGTGAGTATACACCATCGTATCACTACTTTAAAGAGTCCATCAGATGTTTAATAGTTTTGCAGCAATGAAAAACAACAAACAGTGTAAGATTTTTAAAATGCTGGCTTTGATCCTAATTCATGATGAGTATTCGGTTTAGCTAAGACTATACAGCTTTATGAAAGAAGTACAGTGTGAAACATATCTATAATAAACTTTACTGTGGTAAAAGTTATGGTAAACAAAACATTAAAATAAGGTCATGAAATTATGTTATCATCTTTATAAGTTCTGAAAGTGGAGTAGATGCGCTGTCCATTTGTATTTGACTAAATTGAAGGTGATATTGTGAAGGATCTACAGTTTGTATTTACTGCAGAAACCAAAGGGTGCTTTGAATATAATTGAATCCAAAACAAAATTGCATAGCCATACATTCTTGGTCACAAAAAGGAGAAGGCCTTTTTTTGTTATTTCAAACTTCGATAAATACCTTCAACTGTTATTCATTAATGTGTCGAATGTGCTTTAGGTTTTTCAGCCATCAAATGTTGCCCATTTCAGTAAATGTAGGGGTAATATGTAATCAAAGGTTGACAGGGCACATTCCTACCTACTCTGATAGGATTGCAAACAGAAAGTGAAGTTAACTTTGAGAGGTAACTGCCTTAGTATTTGAGTAAGATCAGAGCAGCAGAGGGAGTGGGAGTGATGAGTATCTCCTGATGTATCAGCGCTGTGGCCCGGATCAGCAGAGGGCACATAAAGGAAATCAGATTAGCCGCAGACCACAGTGCTGAAGCTTTGCAGTCATCTAGAGACACTCCGGTCTCTCACTCATAATCTTCATGCTATCTGTCTCCCTTGCATACGCTAATGGGTGTGTATTTAGGGAAAATGCCGGTCCATACACCGATCCATTTAAATGCACACACACACACAGATCAGTGCTGCGTAATTAATTGTGGATCAGAGCGGAAGGAAGTTCGGATTTAAAGCTTTGCATTCAGAGCGCCTGTAGTTCAACAATGTAAAGATATTGATTGGGATTCACTTTAATTCTCAGTCCATACACACACAGCTGAGATATTTGGTTACAAAGAACACAATGGTGCTCTAGGAGGAGATAAGGTGGGGGGGGGGGGCTAATGGTTATAGAAGCAAAAAAAAACATTATGACATCGCAAAGTGGCCAAAATCTGATCAGCTCATTTTCAGACAGGTTTTTATAGAAATGGATCAGGACAAAAAGCGAGCAAATCTTTTTTCCTGAAACTTTCAGAATCTCTTGACACAGAGGACACACATGTATGTATGAAAGTCTTGAAAAAATAGATGTTGCATTATAGGTGACCTTTTAATGTGCACTGTATGGCTCATCTGAAGCCGCAGACCCGTGTCACAGAGCGGTGAAAGGAGCGGATTAGAGAGTTTATCACCACAGGACTTCAAGCCCGGCCACGTTTTCTCACACACTCTGACCTAAACACCTTGTGCTGCAGAGCCCTTTCCAACACCAGTCAGCTCATCAACACATCAGTACCTGAGTTAGTGTTTCTGTCATCTTGCTTTATGTGATGTGATAAAAAAAAACGTCTCGGGGCATAGGGTTAGTTTCTCTCGGTGTAGCTCTTTGGAAAGCATCAGAAATGTTATGATCTCAGCTCTCCATCCATCACTCACTGTTTTAGACCCTACACTTACAGCTTTCGTGCAGATAGAGAGTGCATTTCTGAGTTGATACATTGATATCTGGAAGCTGCCCGGTATTACTGCCAATAATCCTGGGCAGTTTCCGGGTATCAGCTGCTGCAGCGATTTACTGCAGCAGCTGAGCAGTTGCACACAAGTACTTCATTTAATTTACTCAAGGGTACTTTCTGTCATTTCAAAACCACTCTAAGCACTTATTTTGTACACAGGAAATAGATTCACAAGGCTCTAGATGTTCACTCTCAACATAAACTCTTCTTTATGTTTAAAGGGGGAGATGAGGTTTATCACCACCTGCTGTAATGTTAATTAGTTATATACTTCTTGCTTCAGGTAGCATCTGCTCTGCTTTAATTATAAAGAAATCCACTTCATCATTTATGAATTGGAGAGTGTTGTGAAGCTTAATGCCAGCGTGTTTAAATGGTGACATTTTACGACCCAGTGGGAGAGACCCCCCTCTGCCCTTTGCTCTTCACTTAATAGGATGTTATGGCGCTGTGGTTTGACTTTAATTTAGAAAAGTATTCATCATGGGGATTTAGGCTTTAATCAAATTGAAAAGAAAACTCTTTACCAACTAGAGCTTTCGAGGAGCAGACTTATTACTGTGAATCTCTTGAGCTGTAGAAGTTATGTTTGACATGAACAAAGGTTTTATTTGTTCCCGTGTCTCTTCTTCTCTTCTCAGTTTGTGAAGTTTGCAAACATAGAAGAGGACACGCCATCGTACCACCGCAGTTATGACTTCTTCGTGTCGCGCTTCAGTGAGATGTGCCACTCGAGCTTTGAGGACCCTGACATCCGCACCAAGTGAGTGGACAGATGCTCGATTGAGCTAGAGACAGATTGAACAGCTTTTTTAAGACTGGCTTCAGGAAGTCTTTTTTTAGACTACCTCTGCCCCCTCGATATTTTAATATCTTCATGAAAAAAATGCAATCCTTTTGAAATTGATTTTTGTCATCTGCTGGAAATAGACAAAGTGACATATTTGAACGTTTAAAAAATAGCTGTGCAGGATTAAAGATTAACAGATTTGGACTACAAACAAGACAAAAACATGATTTCCTAAATTAAATCCTCCATTTATAGATTCTGTTGCCAGTCAGAGGATGTCTGGTGTCTGATTTATGATCTTCTATTTCTGTTGCCTGCTAGGATCCGCATGGCAGGGATCAAGGGCCTGCAGGGTGTGGTGAGGAAGACTGTGAACGATGAGCTGCAGGCCAACATCTGGGACCCTCAGCACATGGACAAGATCGTCCCCTCTCTGCTCTTCAACCTGCAGAGTGGACAGCGCACGGAGAGGTGAGTGTGCACCAGGAAAATGGTTGGGCTTTTGTAAGTTGCTGTTTATCAGGTCTGTTGAAAAAAACATCTGGGCTCTCCACAAGGATGTGGATTGTCCACTCAGTAGCCACCCAGAGGGGTCCGGGTGCATTCCCACCGCAGAAAAGGTCAAATTCAGTGTCCTCTATTCCATTATTTATTATTAGGCTTCTGGTGTGTTTTAACCAAAGGCTGTAAATATCTATTTATAGTAAAAAGTATACCTTTTCCTGACTTATTATAATTGTTATAATTAAGAATCATTAGACTTAATTTTGTATCATCATTGGCACCTTCAGTCTATATTATTCAGTTAATAAGGACATCCCACAATGATAGTAATGATGTATTAACAGAATAGACACATACTCTTAAATAAGGTCATTTAAAGGTGGAACATATTTTAATCACATCTCACCTATGTCTACTCTAGTTGATTTAAAATGACTAATCAAATATTCCTATGCTAAAATTAACTAATATAACAAACCCTGTGAATCCCTTACTGTTACTTTAACAACATTGCCTGTTTTATGATGTGTTACAATGCGCTTAAAACAATTAGGCTGCTATAAAAAGCGCAATGTAAATAAGGGTATTTCATGAATTTGTTCCTATTAAGCACATAACTATCTGTGTGGTGTTTATGAACGATGCACTAGTTTCATTGGACTTTTTAAAGCTTACTGCACAATCGTGAAGTTGCTGCCACAGTGGTTTTCGGAAACAGCTCTACTGAGTGAGGAGGTCTCCCGTCTGTTTCTTAAAACGATTTAATTGAAATCAAAAATGAATATATTACAGTAGCCGACTGGAGTTAAATAAGTCGTCAGCTCTTTTTACCGGCAGCCGGTACTTATCAAAATCTCAGTATTTAATAGAACCAACTTTTTTTACCTGCTACCCACTACCTTGATAATTGAATGCCTTGTTCCAGGTGCTTTTGGACACCACTATATTTTACATTACATGTCACTTGTTAGACGCTTTTATCCAAAGCGACTTACATACTCAATACTGTGGGCAATCGCCACAGGACCAATTTGGGGTGAAGTGACATGCTGACTGCAGTGGGGTTTGAACCTGTGCTCCCCTGATCCGAACACCAACGCACTAGTCCACAGCCTCCCTATATCATTTGTCTGTTCCTTTAAATGGCTGTTTTGATCATATTAAATGTCATAATGTTGATTTGTTGAAAATTGGTTGACTATTCAACCTACTGAAATAATTGTTTTCAATAAAAGTGAGAAAATTATAGGGCTCAAAAATGGTATGACTGCAGTTAGGAGACAGGTAATACAGCCATGGTATTACCATGTCATTACAAACAGGTGGTGGCAAACTTGATGACCAAAAATGAGTCACATTGACGACCGCTGTGTCTCGGTCACTACGTCAAGAGTTATTGTGTTGTAGGCGACCGGTGCTATTTGTCTTGCGTTAGGCCATATTTGTCCATGTCATTCATCATCACTGTCATCACTGAGAGAACTTACTGACAGCTCTGATCCCCACACGGACATCTGCTGCCCACCTGCAGTATTCCAAGGACAAAGACAAGGGTAGAAAGGTTAAAAAAGACAGAGGGGGGAGAGATTATAAACAGAATTGGTTGGAGACAAAAAAAGGATCACAATTACATTGAGTGCTGGAGGTTGCCAGTGAGAGAGTCTGTAGCCTCCCTCTCTTGGCCGCGTTCCACATAGTGAAATTCACTTTGACGTCAATGCCGACTTCTCAAGTTAAAGGGGGAGGGCAGCGAGGAGAACATTGGAAGATTGTGTGGAAGGTAGATAATAGAAAGTACAGTGATGGAAATGTGGGGCTTATTGAAAGAGACGGAGACAGATGGACAGCAGACAGAAAGGCTCCAACAGAGAGACACGATTCCCTCTCAGCCTCCCTTCTCTCTGTGTGTGTTATTATGAAGCCTGCCCCTGCTGTGCATCTGCAGTCATTACTAGACGTAAAACCCACAGCAGTCAGTACAGTCTACTTAAACTCACAGATGGTGCCTTTTCTCTACATTAATCCTCATGCACATGTACGTGTTCATTTAAAGATCTAACTCGGGGACAGTCTTAGCCAAACCTTCAGACAGTTGAGATTTCTTTAGACGTTCGTGGTGCTCCTGCAATCTTTCCCAGAGACCCATTTTGTGTGTCATACTTCAAGAACAAAAACAGTGATTTAATGCTGAACTGAATAGTTTAAGGCTTCATTCAAAAGATCGTCATTCAAATTCTTAATCTTTATTGAATGATGCACAATTGTGTCTATTCATTTTGTTTGAACTTGGTATTTTAGCCTAGATGCATATACACATTTGGCTAAACTATTATTATTAAAGTTAGGATAACTAGATTCCAATTCCAATAACTCTAGAGCCCAGATTCCAAAGTTGATTAAAAATAGAAGGATGTTTGTTATATGTTGTTATTTACAAATTCCCAACATCATTTTGTCATGCAAAATGTTCTTCTTTAATTCATATTTGTTTGCGTTTAGCCTTTAAAATGACCCTATTATGCTTTTTCGGTTGTTCCCTTCCCTGCATCGTGTTATATAGTTTGTTGTGCATATTAATGGTAAAGGCTGAAATCCCTGTGTTCCCTCCAGAGGGAGCTTCTCTCCCACACACTCACTGAAACGCCTCCATTGGACTCCTTTGTTTACTTCAACAACATAGTGACAGCACTACGTAACACTGCTTCTATTGGCTAGAGCTCCAACTCTTTGTATGTAGAAGACTAAGGGGCAAGACATCTCAAAGCAGTTGACCAATCACAACAGATCCGGCCAGCTAACCAATCAGAGCAGACTGGGCTCTGGTTTGAGACAGAGGATGAAAAGAGGTGCTCCACCAAAGGCAGTGTGTGAAAAATAAAGACCTTTTTGAACATGAAAGCATGGAAACATGTCATATTATAGGCACAAATAACAACCTAAGAATGAGCTTAATAGGGCCCCTTTAAAAAATAAATAAAAATGTTTGTGTTTACTCCCCTGCCTGCCACACAGACAGGGAGGCCCGTGCTGATTTATTGGTTTTAATGTGTAGGTGCCTGCTCAGACTTTGTGTTCTCTAAGCCATTTTCTTCCAGACGTTGCCTCAGCAGAAACGTTTAGCAGAAATGATCCATGCCTTTAACATGCCCCCCCACAGACTCAAACACTGCCTCTGGGAAATGGTTTGATAAAAGCAGATATAAGGGTAAACTGCCTAGCCAAGTAGTCTTCGAGATGATGGAGATGGTTGGATGTCTGATTTGTTGTTGTTGCATGCTTGTGAGTTTCCAAATCATTATTGAAAACTGTGTACTTAGAGGCTGTTAGGTTGACTTCAGTCTCCCACGGGGGGTTTAAGATGCACTTTTCAATCCGATAGGGGTCAATGGGAGTGGATTCGTAAGCATTATAAGCTACCGCTGAACAAATGCTAAACCTTTCAGCCATAGCGGTTTATAACTCATTGGCACCACTAAAATAAAATGGCTTCATTTAAGTGCGTGACCTTAAAGTAAAACCAATATTAATCCTTTATTTTTCTTGCTTTTACTGTTTTCCATTGCCCCTCAAATGTCAGTGTCTTTTTTCAGAGTTGAGTTAGAAACGCCCAGAGAGGCAGGAAGTCTCATTACCTCCACAGCAGCGGCAGGCCTGATGAAAGAGTGAGGCTGTTAATAAATAATGTCATCATTGGTTGACCACCCGGGGCTAGTCATGACTAAGATGGAGTTATAGTGGAGGCTTTATGCATGAGAACAGAGACAGGCTGGACACGGTGTCAGTACACACACACACACACACACTTTGACACACTTTGTCACGTCTAACATGTCCTTCATAGTGATAACAGAATGGCATTGCACAAATTCACACAGACATTTTTTCATTTCCACTGCGGAGGGAAAAGTCAGCTCAAGGCTGCAGTGACGGCAGTCCAGAGTGTTTCTTTTGTGTGAGAAATCTCACCTTTTGTGGAAATATGATTGAATAAATAACATTTTTAACTCCTTTCTCTGTTCTCTCATTTTCTCTCTCGCCGCCTCTCCCTCTCTCCCCCCTCCCGACTCGACTCGACTTCCCCTCCCTCCTCTCCCTCTTTTCTGCCTCCTCACCTGCCTCGCTCCCTTCCAGCCGCTCCCCCTCTCCGCTGCAGGCGTCGGAGAAGGAGAAGGAGAGCCCGGTGGAGCTGACGGAGCGCTGCTTCAGGGAGCTGCTGGGACGAGCCGCCTATGGCAACATCAAGAACGCCGTCACGCCCGTGCTGATGTAAGACAGCCCCTAAAAACTCTTTCTGTGATTCCTTCCTTTGTGTTCTGCTCGTTTTCTGGCGCATTAATTACAAGGGAAGGATGCATCTTAATGCTATGTTGCGGTATTTTTGTATCTCTGCACTGAGTGGCATGTAGGCGAAGCAACAAGGTCAGGGCAAGGTTACACAGTTCCAGACCGGTGCATGACTAGCAGACATTTTACATTGTATTTGAATGAAATTGTGTTTCACCGCTTTATCTTTCTGAGGTCATCTTCTATGCTATTGTCATTGAACTTTGATGTCTCTGAACCTGGTCCTCTGTGATTCATGTTTTATTTAAAGTTATGTCCCTCCATCCATCTTCCTCTGTGGTTTGAATCTGAGCTACTCTTCTTTCTTCTATGTTTGTTTTTTATCTCTCAGCCGTTTCCCCTAGAGCTCTAGACATTAACTATTTATTTCCGTACTGAGTTAACTTTTCATTTTGTCTGTTGAGCACTTATTATCTATGAATACAGCTAACTAATACAGTGTGTATTTAAACAGCCACATTTTGAATTTTGCTTATAAGTCTACTGCCTTTTATCGAGTCATTTAGTATTCCAAAATCCAACTGCAAATCTACTTACCATTTTTTTTTGTACAGTTAAATATTACATTCATTTGAACTCTTTAATCCATCATTATTAGTTATTTCTCAATTTTCCCTACAATTCATCTCACTTGTCATGTTCTGTTCGAGACCGGCTCTCGTCCATCCATCAGCAGCGTCTCTGTGTCTGTCTGTTTCGAGCATTAGATATTTGTCCTCCTGCGCCTCTCTGTCTCTGTGCACAGTTTTCAGCAGTGACGACCTTGATGTTTGATGAACGTTGCTGAATACACTGAACAATGAAAGACAAAGATAAATGTCTCTTTATTCTCACATAGCAGTACATCGTTATACGTCTTTACATGTATTTAACATAAGTGATTTCCACCCACAAAAAACCCAGATTGAGTCTTGATGTCTGGGATTTATTAGAAACTATACATTTGCTCTTCATCCCTTGCTATCCTCACCATCACTACCTCCTGTCAATGTGTTCTAACATCGTCCCTGTTCTCTTGTCTGTGTCCCCTCCAGGCACTTGGATAACCACTCTCTATGGGAGGGGAAGACCTTTGCAGTGCGTTGCTTCAAAATCATAATGTACTCCATCCAGGTAAGTGATACAGTGTCTACATATCCACTAAGACCTCCTCATCACCCCTTTTCTCTGTCTTTCTCCTTGTCTATAAATCCAGATCCAAGTAGGATTCACACAGTGCCATATTTGTATCTAAGTTTTATCACACGTTTTAAAGCGGCTAATTAGAAATATGCTCAAAATCCACCCTTTATTGGAGACATATGGTCCCACCAAGCTATCCAGCACCCTAGTTCTTGACCTTTCTGAATGACTTGATGTCATGTTACAGATTTACACCACTTCTAATTCCCTCTTTTCCTACAGTTTTCCTGTTTATTCGATTTAGTTTTTGGTTTAATTCCTTCTTTCTCTCCTGCCCTCCCAGTCTCAGCACTCTCACTTGGTCATCCAGCAGCTTCTCGGTCACCTTGACGCTAACAGCAAGAACTCAGCCACAGTGCGAGCCGGGATAGTGGAAGTGTTGCTGGAGGCAGCCGCCATTGCAGCCAGCGGCTCTGTAGGTGAGAAAGACACACACACACACACACACACACACACACACACACACACACACACACACACACACACACACACACACACACACACACACACACACACACACACACACACACACACACACACACACACACACACACACACACACACACACACACACACACACACACACACACACACACACACCAGCTGGCATGTCGCAGGCGGGATCAGGCATGGACAGTTTGAACTAGTGTTTTGATGAGTCACTGTTTGCAGGTCCCACAGTGCTGGAGGTGTTCAACACCCTGCTGCGGCAGCTCCGTCTGAGTGTGGACTACGAGCTGACCGGCTCCTATGACGGCAGCACCAACATCGGCACCAAGATTATCAAAGCTCATGAGGAGAGGCAGCTGCAGGAGGCTGTCATCAGGACCATCGGTGAGTCAGTGGCTGCTGTGTCTGTGTGAGAACGACTGTGTGTGTGTGTGTGTGTGTGGGAGGCTTTGCAAGAAAGGCTCCAAGAATTGTTCCTATTGTCTGTGTCTGCCTTTATGAGTGGACACCAGTGAGTGTTCATTTTCTCTCCTTTTGTACATCCTTCCTTCTGTAACAGGACTGGGCAGATAAAGAGAAAAGTGGTAGTGCAGCAATCACGACAAAGGCAGTGTTCAAGTCCAAAAAAGAGGCTTTATTGCTGTTAAACTCAAAAATACCTTTAACTATACAAAGGCTAACGTAGCCGGGCCGCTAACCGACTTACCAGCTTACAAACTGTTTCCTCACGCTGGGAGTCTCCTGCTCCCTCCATGTGCCACACACAACTGAGCAACTCTGGGTGCTTTGTCTCCCTTGAGGGAGTGATTAGCACCAGGTGTGAGGTCTCCACACCTGCTCCCAATACTGTTAATTGGAAGCGGGTGGAGCCACCTATTGGGAATGTAGGTGTCTCCCACTACTCTGCCTCTCAGTCCCTTACACATTTTGTTGCTAGGCCTTCTTTCTCCACAGTAGCATACCCTTGTTCCCTTGTGTTCAGCTTCCGGCTGATGTACATGACTGGGTGTTCCTCACCGTGAACCTCCTGGGATAGTACTGCTCCTATGCCCACCTCTGACGCATCCGTCTGCACAATCATCCCCCGGCTGGAGTCTGGGGTCACCAACACCGGCCGTGCGCAGAGAGCCCTCTTAAGTCCCTCAAAGGCGTGTTCAGCCTCTCCTGTCCACTTGACCATTAGCGGCTGTGAGTCTCTGGTCAGGTCTGTAAGGGGAGAGGCTACTGTGGAGAAGTTTAGGATGAAACGGCAATAGTAGGACGTCAGACCCAAGAAGGTTTTCACCTGTTTCTTTTCTTGACGGCCGTGGCCAGTCCTGGATCGCCTGAACCTTCCTTTCTTGTGGTCTAACGTTGCCCCGCCCAATGGTGAAGCCCAGATATTCGGCTTCCTCCAGTCCAAGCTTGCATTTTCTTGGATTGGCTGTCAAGCCCGCCCTGCGGAGAGATTCCAGCACTGCTGCAAGCCTTATGAGATGGCTATCCCATGAGTCACTGTGGATAACAACGTCATCCAAATAGGCAGCTGCATACTCACGATGTGGCCTCAGAACCTTGTCCATCAGTCTCTGGAACGTGGCTGGTGCTCCATGAAGCCCGAAGGGAAGCCCAGTATACTGGTACAGCCCTGTGGGGGTGGCGAAGGCCGTCTTCTCTCTTGAGGCTGCTTCAAGTGGGACCTGCCAATACCCTTTCGTCAAGTCCAGAGTGCTGATATACCTGGCTTCCCCAAGCCGATCAATTAGCTCATCTATCCTGGGCGTAGGATACGCATAAAACTTGGAGATTTCATTCAATTTTCTGAAATCATTACAGAACCTGTTGGTTTTGTCTGGCTTAGGAACCAGAACGACAGGGCTGGTCCACTCACTGAGATTCTTCAATCACCCCCATATCCAGCATTTTCTGCACTTCTTGCTCAATGGCCGCCCGTCTTGCCTCCGGCACCCGGTAGGGCCGCATCTTTACCTTTTGGCCAGGCTCTGTGTGGATTTGATGTTCCACCATCGTTGTGCGTCCAGGTCGTAGTCAGAACACATCCAAACTCTGCTGAACCAGTTCCTTGGTTTGCTGTAACTGAGCTTTGGACAGCCCTGGACCGCATTCAACTTCGGCCACCTCATGGTCTGGAGAAGAGGGGGACACAACCGGGGAACCACAACACAGCAGTGCCTCTCGGGCGTACCATTTCTTTAACAGGTTAACATGGTATATTTGGGATGGTTTGCGACGGCCAGGTTGGCGTACCTTGTAGTTGACTGGTCCCACCTTCTCTGCCACTTCATAGGGACCTTGCCACGATGCCAGGAATCTGTGTTCTGTGGTGGGGACCAGGAGAAGCACTTTATCCCCGGGCAGGAACTCACGCGGTTGGGAACCTCTGTTATACACTTTCCTCTGGTCTTCTTGGGCTTGAGCCATGTGCTCTCTGACCATGGGCCAAACATCTTTCATATGCGTCTGCATCGTCTCTACGTGCTCAATCAGGCTCCGATGGGGGCTTGGTTGCTCCTCCCAGGCTTCCTTCGCGATGTCGAGAAGTCCTCTGGGCTGTCGGCCGTACAGCAGCTCGAAGGGGGAGAAACCGGTTGAAGCCTGTGGAACTTCCCTGATTTGAAAACAGGACATAGGGTAGAAGCTGGTCCCAGTTACGACCATCCTTGTCAACAACCTTCTTTAACATGGATTTCAACGTCTTGTTAAAGCGTTCTACCAATCCGTCTGTCTGAGGATGGTAGACAGATATACGAAGCTGCTTTACGCCTGCAGAGATCCTTCATTATCTTGGACATGAAGGGAGTGCCTTGGTCTGTTAGCATCTCTTTAGGAATCCCAACTCGGCAGCTCCCGTGCAATCACTCTCGTTGTCATGTTCCTCAAGGGAATGGCCTCCGGGTACCTGGTTACATAGTCAAGGATCACAAGAATATACTGATGTCCCCTGGCAGACTTCACCAGCGGTCCCACTAAGTCCATGTTAATGCAAGAAAACGGTACATCGATTATCGGTAGAGGTATTAGGGGATTTTTAAAGTGTGGCTTGGGACTCATCTTTTGACATTCAACACAGGTGCGACAATAATCCTCTATAGCTCTTACCACCCCTGGCCAGTGGAACCGGCTCCCAATCCGCTGCCTTGTCTTCTTAACCCCTAGGTGGGCCCCTAGGACATGGCTGTGAGCCAGATGCAACACTGTGGACACATATTGTTTTGGGACAACCAACAAGTCTCTTCGCTGACCTTCAACCTCTTTGGCATAGTATAAAAGATTATTTTTTATTAGGAAATGAGGACATGTAAGCTCACCTACTCCTGGAACTGGTTTTGTCCATCATTATCCTCTCTAAAACACTCAACTTTTCGGGGTTGCATGTCAGCCAGGCTCTGGTTACCCGGCCTAGGTCATACATCTGGGCCCTGGCTGACAACTCTGGCTTGTATTTCCAGTCATGGAACCGCTGGGCTCTAGCTGCTAAGCTGTAGCCATACCTTGCCAGGATTTCCCTCTTCAAGACGACGTAGTCCTTTGCTTGGTCAGGAGGGAGGTCGAAGTAAGCTTGCTGTGCCGAGCCCAGGAGGAATGGTCCAACCAGATCAGCCCAGGAGTCCCTTGGCCAGCCCTCTCTTTCAGCAGTGCGCTCAAAGGCTGTTAAGTAGGTCTCTATCTCATCACTCTCCGTCATTTTGGGGATGAATCGACCTGGGTTAGGCTGCACGGTTGCTTCCCTTTGGATAGGAGAGGCTGCTGTTAGGCATTTTTGGATCTCCACATGAAGAAGCGCATTCTGTTTCTGCTGCTCCTGTATCATCTGCCGTTGCAGAGTCTGCTGCTCAGTAGAAATACGCACCAACTCCCTTAGTACATCCTCAATCTTGAAACCGAAATACACTAACTGCAACACCACCACTAGAGTCCTTATGCCCGCATTCTCCACCAGTGTAACAGGACTGGACAGATAAAGAGAAAAGTGGTAGTGCAGCAATCACGACAGAGGCAGTGTTCAAGTCCAAAAAAGAGGCTTTATTGCTGTTAAACTCAAAAATACCTTTAACTATACAAAGGCTAATGTAGCCGGGCCGCTAACCGATTTACCAGCTTACAAACTGTTTCCTCACGCTGGGAGTCTCCTGCTCCCTCCATGTGCCACACACAACTGAGCAACTCTGGGTGCTTTGTCTCCCTTGAGGGAGTGATTAGCACCAGGTGTGAGGTCTCCACACCTGCTCCCAATACTGTTAATTGGAAGCGGGTGGAGCCACCTATTGGGAATGTAGGTGTCTCCCACTACTCTGCCTCTCAGTCCCTTACACTTCTTTTGTATTTTACTCCAATATCCTCCTATCTATCTCATTCTCATCTCTCTTTTACCTTCAGGTTCTTTTATGTTCAAAAATATTTGTATTAAGTTTCTACAACTTATAACCAAGGTTAAGTGCCTACACAATGACAATATGCTATCATTTAGCCATAGGGACCAAAGTATAAGCATATACAAATGAGACAATGGTTTGCACTGATTATATATACAAAGAGAAAGAACGAAAAACACAACAACAAAAGCAATAACAACAACTAAAGTAATCCCCCTACATTCACTGCCAGTCAGAGGTGGCGCTAGACTTTTTTGCTGCCCGTCATTTTAACAGACAGGATCGTAACATTTCCGTCAAAATTAATTATTACCCGTCGGTCTACTCTGTACACAGAGGACGGGGACTCAGACGCACGCATGCTCGTGAATTGTTAGCGCCGGTGTTATGCATACCCACTGCACCTAGCGGGAGCGTGCACAGCGTAAAGCAAAAACTCTCAGACATTTCAATGATTTGTACGGCAAAGTACAGTTTGGAAACTATATCATTTCCTTTTTGGCGGGCATGCATAACACGGCATAACACCGGAGCCTCGCTGCGGGGAAGCTTTGGCGCTGTTCCGAGTTTGTTCTAATCTGTCAAAATTACGGACTGCTTTCAGATTTTTCCGTCATTGTTAAAAAAAATCCGTCATGGACTAAAAATATTCGCTTAACGCAACCTCTGCTGCCAGTAAGCGTCAAACACACAAATATTCACCAAAAATGTTCTAACTTTCAGGTTCTTTTGCCAACACACTACCGACATACCAGAGGTCAGAGGTCATGCTCTTCATCATGGGCAAGATTCCCGTCCCTGGGATTCACCCAGCTCTCACTTCCATAGGCTCTGGGTGAGTTACTCGCAAATCTCTCACGAACACATGCTCTCTTTGTGCAGCGTATGCCCAGTAAACTGAATACTGCATGTGTTTATGTTATTCTCTTTCATATATCTTCATTTGTTTTCATCTGCAGGCCCGAGGTGACGAGGATGATCCAGGTTATGTTACTGAAGTCCTTGGTCCAGGTACGTTTTCAGCTTTGCATTATTAATCATACAAAAAATAGTGTTTACATATCTTTTAAGCAGGAGAAGCCTCCCTGTGTTACTGGTGCATGTTCTCACTCTAAGAAAGTACTTTATATAGTAGCGCCACAAGTAGTTTTTATCGCATTTACAATACGTCAAGGTGATACTCCTCAGTAGCTGTCATCCTTCAAACTTTATCTCAGCCCTCGTGAAAACGTATTTTTCACAAACCATGTGTGTTTTAGGCAGCACTCTTATGGCCTGAGAATTTCATTTCGGCTATAAACAATTCCTTATCTCTTCCAAGTATACAGAAGAAATCATACCATTGAGCCATTTTTCAAAACAAGGTCGATTTCAATTCCCTTAGAAAAACCCATTTGAAGCCATAAATGACAGCCAGTTGACTCTCATGGGGTAGTTTAAAGCTGTTTTAACCCCCTTATTTTCAGCAGGAATATAAATGATGTATGTGTTAACCCAGTGGTCTGCAACCTTTTTGACCAAAAGAGCCATTTTGCTCCTTTTTCCCACATTTTTTTTGTCTGGAGCCGCAAAACATATTTCATAGTTTTTTATTGTTATATCAGACAAAAACTACAGTTTTTTTGCATTTATTAGGCTATTTATTACATGATATAAAACTGTTAACCTCTAATAAGAAACAAAGAACTCTTATAAGGAGAATTAAAAAGAATACACAGGCCTACTTTAAAATAAATTAAACACAGCACTTGGGGAGTCCTCTGCACATTTGAAGGAAAATGTGCATTATCCATTATTAAAATGGGCCCACTTTGAAATAAATAAAACATATAGCTGCACCCTAAAAAGAGTTAAAGGTAGGGTAGGTAAGAATGGAGAAACCAGCTCGAGTGCGCTAGAATTTGAAAGTACACAACCGGAAAAAATGTGCCTCTTCCTTCAGACTTTCTTACAGAGTCCCTCCTCCAACACACACGAACGCGCACATGACCAATGAGGGCACGAGATAAGTTTGTGCACAGATGGAAGGCTGACAGGCAGGTAGGCCATCCAGTTATTTTAGCCGGGCCGGCTCAGATGATTGGTCGTGCTTTTTACAGTACTACGGCTTCCAGAGATTAATTTTTGTATGTATTTATTGTCAAAGCATTTAATATATTCATTGCTATCGGGATGTTAAGAGCATTCCATGGAATATAACAGAAAGTGTTTTCTGAAATAAATTACATACCCCATTGAATTATGACTGAAGATCGTCAGCTGTCTTCCTCTCCCGTGTTGTTCCTCGATACGTAAAGGCTGCACCACCGTTGACAACTTCTCTCTAGATATCAGACATACCGGTAAACCAGCATCGTTTGCTGTGAAAGCAGATAACTCTGTCCACACAGAATTAAATCCTGTGTTCCTCCGGTTCTTTTCTTTGATTTATCCATAGTTCGCTCATCGAGCCGGGGGTCAGGTTATTCGCCTCCAAGAAAAGGCGCTCGCGCGGGACCGTAGCAGGATGTGACGCATATTTTAGTTTACCTAATTAAAACCGTTTTGTTTTTTATTTATGTGTCACAGTATCACCTCAAAATACAAGATACGAAACATTTTCAACCATGCAACAAAATATAAATAGTCCTACAAATACTTTTATTTTATTTCCTTCTTATTTTTGTCTAAGCTCAAGGGAGCCAGAGCAGAGGGCTTAAAGGGCCGCATGCGGCCCGTGGGCCGCGGGTTGCCGACCCCTGTGTTAACCTCTACTAACTTGTTACCATCCATCTCCCAGGTGACGGCTGGTTTCCAGACCACCAACATGCTGACGGCGCTGCCCAGCTCCTTCCTGGAGCCGCTGCTGTCCTTCTCCCTCACCGAGGACCCAGAGCTCCGGCTGCTGGTGCTGCAGATCCTCCTCAGTCTCATCGACAGGCACGACAACACTGCAAAGTTCTCCGACATTAGGTACGTGTGTGTGTTATTCTAGGCTTCATTTCTAGTGTGTTTGAGCACTTAACAGTCTTTGTTAATCATTGTGCCTCGTCTCTTTGCAGCATCATCTCAGACATCTCTGTGCTCAAGCTCAAAGTCGACAAGTGCTCCAGGCAGGACAACTTGTTCATGAAAAAGGTAAAAGCTTTGTCAGTTTAAAAGTTGAGCTGATGAACGTGTTTTCCCTACAGTCTACTGAAAAGTAACCAGCAGTAATTACTTTAGATAAAGAAATGCATTATCACAATTCAATGATTCATTGCACATAAAATATTCTAATTCCTTCAAATGATTCTATTTACTTTTTGTTACAAAGACTTTGTAGTTTAACGAATAGTATTACACCTATGATACTTGATTGCTCATGGTTTAATGTAATACATTTAATATGAAAAAAACTTTTAAATCCTTGTATTATTTAGCTATGTATGCACTGAGTGTAATTTTCTTTTTCTTTTGATAAGTCTTTTTTTTTCTTAAAATGCACTTCACTGTAACAATCTCTCTTAATTTGCCTTTGACATTTTAACAGTGTTTATTGTTATTCTGTATTGAGATGATATATCTGAAATGATAGTTTTAATACATATCTGATATGTTTTTAATGCATTTCTTGTGACGTTTTTTCACATAACAAAGACTATAAAAGTGTAAAAATTAGGTTTAATTTTCCAAATGACATTCATGAAGTGATATACTCTCTATCCTGTATGGGCTCCTTGGCTGAACACGCTTAACAGAGTAGTCTCTCCTTCAGACTCTTGATTCTCTCTCTCTCTCTCTCTCCTCATCCTCCTCCTCTCAGCACGGCCAGCAGCTGTACCGTCACATCTACCTGGGCTGCAAGGAGCCGAGCAGCGGCGGGCAGCACTACGAGTCTCTCTTCGCTCTGCTGGGTCTCCTCAGCGTGGAGCTGGCTAATGAGGAGGTGGTGGTGGACCTGATCCGCCTGGCGCTCGCCCTGCAGGTACTGAAACACATGCAGTCAGTCAAATTATATTTACTTTAGATAAGATACAAAAATGTAATGATTATAAAAAGAAAATATAGAAAAAACGAACATTTAAAAAAATTGTTTTACTCCAAATATAAATATACAAAAGAAACAAAAAAACATATTGCAATGGAAATATGACAATATGTGCAGTATATTATATTTAAAAGAAGAGGGCTTTGTAGATTTTAAGAGAGGTAGGGATACATAAAAATGTATAAAATGTATTCAGAGAAATGTATTTATGTAGTCAGGAAATCATTCTGAAATTGGCCGTAATCTTCTAACACGGCCAGGCTTGGAATTTCGTCATTTTAGGGGCAAGGCCATTTGGCCTTTGGTGTTACACATTTTTTCAGGGCGCAAAGGCCACATGCCAGGGCACAAAGGCCATTGAGGGAAACATTTGGATTTGGAGCTTGCAAATAAATAACTTCACTTTTTTATAAGAAAAACACACGAATGACATGGAAAACAAATCACTTTTTTAATATCAATAATGTCAAACATGATATCATCATATAAGGCGCATTCACACTGCGGTACTTTTCCCACAAAGGTTCATGAGAACTTAGTTCATGAGAACTCTTTAGTTCTCATGAACTAAGTACAGATCGCGTTCACACTGGAAAAAGTCCCTGGGGGTGGATTAGGCAAATGAAGCCGCTGACGTCACTTGTTCTTCTTCTGCTTTGGGTTTACTGGCAGGCCGCAAACCACTTCACGGCGTATACTGCCGCCCAAAGTCCCCGGCCGGAAGTCCCCGGAGTTGGGGACTGGCTTCAGTAGAAGCTGCTGGGACTCCCAGCAGCTTCTACTGAAGCCTTCCGAGTAAATCGCCAGAATGCCGACACCTCCTCATCTCCACCGCTCCCATGTTTTATTTTGTGTTGCCATAAGTTAGTCTCTCTGCGTTTCTGCGCTGGGCTAATGCTAATGCTAATAATGCTAATGCGAGGATAATAAAATGGCGGCTTCACAAAACTTTTTGGGAGTTTTACGGGGCGTGGTTTGCAATCCGCCCAGCCAATCAGAAATATAGCTCTTTTCTCACAAGAGAGCCGCACGAAAGTCCCTGCTCTCCAGCAGGGACTTTCGTGGGGGTAAAAAGGTTCACATGAACTAATTTTAGTACCGGCTCTTTTTGGTGTGAACGCGATAAAAGAGTTCACGTGAACTAAGTTCACATGAACCTTTGTGGGAAAAGTACCGCAGTGTGAATGCGCCTATAGGCCTATGCCTCCTTAGTATTACCGTATATAAAATAAAATACTTTACTTTGAATAATTTGTGTTTGGTATGTTTTCCATCTACTACTTCTACCATTCACAAATCCAAAATCAAATTAAAAAATCTATTAATATGTAACAAATATATTCCATTTCAGAGCAGAAGAAACAGCCTTCAAGGGTCAAACTCTGCACATACATCATTCAGCAGTGCACAGTGAAGTGTGTGTGTGTGTGCGCGTGTGTGTGTGTGTACGAGTCTCTTTAATCAACTTCTCACAGCTCTGGTCAGAAACTGGACAAAAGTTAAACATGTACAAACCACAGACTGTCATGGCGAATAGAATCGCTGCTTTAATTCTGTCTTTAGGACGTTGTTGTGAGTGTGGACGGAGCAGCTACAGGTTAGTTTAGCCTGATTGATCCATTCAGAAAACACGCATTTTAAAAGGTTTCTCGCTTGCCGTCTTATCTGCAGACTTGTCAAAGCATTAATTCACTAACCGGTATCAGTATTTAGTTACTTCGGCATCATTTTGAAACGTGTATTACAATAAATCACGGTAAAATATGTTCATTTTGTCGCAGTTGGTTTCCACAAAGTAAAACACAGCTGACAGCCGCGGTGAAACTCCAGCGGTTAGAGCGATGAGAATATTCGCATCACGTCCGTTGTGAACGCAGCATAATGCAGTTCAGAAAACACTGTTCTGTCGCTTTTAAAGCAACTTCGAGATTTTAACAGTACACACACCACAGGCCATGGTGGCCGTAGGACATACAATTATTTGTGGGGCATAACGGCCAGACCAAGGGGCTACGACGGCCATGGCCGTCATGGCCGCCCTGAAAATCCTACCCTGAACACGGCACTACAATATTTAGTCTCATTATATACAAATGAATGTGGCAATAAAAAGCCTTTCACAGTGCTTTGACATAAAGACCATAACATATCTAGAAAAAAGGACATTGAATCTAAAATAGATTTTTAAAGATAGGTTGTAAAACTCACAATAAATGACGCGAGATAAAGAAGTGGAAACAGTCCAAGATGAATGAAAACCATGTGTGAGGGTATTTTATTAACACGGTATTTGTCCCTGTTTCCTGTGCAGGACCTGGCTCTGTCCACTGACGAGGCGCTTCCTGTTTATAACCGCTGTGCTGTTCATGCCATCGCCGCCGCCTACCTCAACCTCATCTGCCAACTCACCACCGTCCCAGCCTTCTGCCAGCACATACACGAGGTCTGGCTCCTCTTTGTGTACACGTCAACGAACGTGTGAATACTAAGAGCCTTCTTTAATAAACCGCATCCTTTCTCTGCCCTTCAGGTGATTGAGGTGAGGCAGAAAGAACGGAGCTACCTTTTGCCTGAGGATGTCTTCATTGATAATCCCAAGTATGTACTCCATAATGTATCTGACTCTATGTACATGTATATAGACTATATACTTGTACACTGTACACAACAACATTCTCTGCAACATTTAGCTTCTTGTATATATTTGTTTGACATGTATATAGTTTACTTTATCTGCATTACTTGCACATTGGTCCTAGATATTCTTGCACTATTTTCTTCTACTTTCTTATTGCAATTTTGTATTGTTTTTTTAATTAGTTGTATGTCTTATATATATTATATTGTATTGATAGGATGAGCCTGGGACTTAAGATTTTCATTGCCATATTTACACCGTAGCTACTGTGCATATGACAATACATCCTTTGAATCTTTGCAACCCATACACTAAATTAGCTATTTGAATATGCAAAAATGTATGTTAAATACATGTTTATATATTTAACATATAAATATTTAAATCGCCTCTCTCTCTTTCCCCAGGCTGCCTTCTTCACTGGAGAAGGTGGAAGGGGACGTTCTGTTCCTCCAGTCCAAGATCACTGAGGTCCTCGGAGGCAGTGGGTATAACACAGACAGACTGGCTACCCCGTATGTCCCCCAGTACACTGGTAAGGGTCTCAACAAAACCTTTCTTTTGTTAAAAGTATACATCGTGTTTAAAAGTCAGCTGTGCCAAAGAAGAGATATTCTTTAAAAGTATATAATGATAATGTCTATTGAATTTGCCAGTGTGTTAAATATTTTAGTTGGTGCTTTATTGATTCCTGTATGGAATTGTAGAGCTGCATTTCTCTCCTGCAGCTCGTTGGGGATTTAGTGTTTCATTGAAGGACACTACATCAGGACAGACTGTTCTTCAGCTGTGGGGCTAGAGCCAGGATCATTGAGTTGAAGGAAAAGCCCTTAACTATCTATAACTTATTGATAGGCATTGCCTTTGGGAGCTAGTTCACTTTTAGACTCATTTGTCAGATCGCGTCAGCCTGTGTTATTCTGATGTTGCCTTTGGATTAAAACAAAATGTCTGTTTTCTTTTCCGTGTTCAGATGAGGACCGTCTGTCCAAGAGGAAGAGCATCGGAGAGACCATCTCACTGCAGGTGGAGGTGGAGTCCAGAAACAGTCCAGAGAAAGAAGAGGTAAAGGCCAAAAAGCATTTCCAACAATGCCATCTTCAAGAACTTAAATGTACCGATACATATATAAGGACGTTCGAGTTAAATGAAAAGTGCTTGATATTCCTTTGTTCTTATTCTGTTCTGCAGAGGACGCCAGCAGAGGAGATCACATTTGAAACCCTAAAGAATGCCATCGGTACGTCAACATTACAATGATTGTGATTTCCTTTACTGTTTTAAGAAGAATCCTTCAAGCATTAAGGCCAAATTGTCACTTTCAACACACAATCTAGTTCAGCATGGTGCAGAATAGAGACGTAAAGGTTGTTTGTGTCTCCCTCTAGTGGACAGCGTCGGTATGGAGGAGCAGGAGAGGGAGCGGAGGAGACAAGTGGTGGAGAAGTTTCAGAAGGCCCCCTTCGAGGAGATAGCTGCACACTGTGGTGCCAGGGTAAAAAACACATTCCTTTAACCCATATTGTTTGATTATTGTTTCAGTTTGGCACTATGGTCTGACGTGATGTTCTTTGTCCTATCCAGGCCACTCTACTCCAGAGCAAACTCAATCAGATCTTTGAGATTACAATCAGGTAAGAGACGGCACTTTGGTATATTTCCAATGAAACATTGATTGGCCATTTTTCCAAAGTGACATTGATGGCTGATAACATTACATTTTCATCTTTATTGATAGTATAATTATTCAAAGCAGCCCAACAAAAGTGTCGCAAATCATCAGATTTAAGAGGAAACAGATACAAAGCATTATGGTGTAAAGAACAATATAGTTTGGAAAAGGAATAGGAAAAAGATAAACATTTTCAAAAAGGAAATGTAATCTCTATTAACTTGAGGAAAGGGTCTCCAAAAAGGAACTTGTTTTTAATCCATAAAGGAGTTTCCTGACTCAGGCGACCTGATTTCTTGGGGCAGGTTTGAGGCTCTGACTACATACGGTCTGTCCCCAGTTTTTGCCTCTGGGACGGGATCTAAAAGTACTGTGCGTACGGTACATAGAGCTCAGACATAAAACAGGGAGAGAGGCCATGCAGAGCTTTTAAAGTCATCGGTTAAACCTTAAAAACCCTTAAACACAATGGGAGTCAGGGTAATAAGGCTGAAGCTGGAGTGATGTGATCCGTGTCTTGGCTCTGGCTAAAGCCTGGCAGAGGCTTTACCGTCTGGAGTCGTTTAATAGATCTGTAGTTCAGTCCAGCAAAAACACCGTCGTTAAAATGGATGTTTGACATATTCCTAAGACTATCAAAACATGATTGCGCAAGCCTCGCTATGTTGTTGTTCAAACGTGATGATTGACTCCTGATGATGTTTCCTCTTCCCGTGCAGACCCCCCCCCAGCCCATCTGGAACCATTTCATCAGGTTACGGCCAAAGCCAGAGTCGATCCGTCCCCCTCTACGAGATGAAGTTTCCTGACCTCTGTGTATACTAGCGCAGAAAGGGAAGTCACAGAACTATTTCACACTTGAGGACAGGCGAGGAATTTTTTTTTCCCGGTAAAGATACCGATCTTTACATGGAATCACATGACCACAGGGGATGAGGAGAAAAAACCACTGTCCACTCAAGAACAAGCTACTTGTTGATCAACATAGTCATCTGAAATTCCGTGTGATTGCAGCCCAAAATAAGCCGGCTATTTATGTCGATTCATGCAGCAGTAAAACAAACTTTTATTTGTCTGTTATTCCCCTCGCGTCTCCTTCCATGTCTGTAGAATCTCCTGTGGTTGGATTTTAACGTTTGAAATTGCCAAGTACTGCGAGGGGACGATAGGTGGCACACTGAGAGTTGTTTCATTTGAATGAACTGACTTGTTGCATGCCATGTTACTTAACATTTTTGATAGCACTACAACTTGGACATTCTTTCCACCTGTTTGTCCCTTACAGGGTGCCATACTACTGTTGATCACAAAAGTTAGATTGACTGTTTTTTTAATATTTTATTTGTTTTGTTGTTGGTTGATTTTATCGCCGGAGAGAGCATATGTGTAAAAGATGTATTTTAATTTAGTGTATGTTTGAATGAAATATGGACAGATACAACTATGACGCTAATCCTTACCATATCCCATGTTACTCAGCTCTTAAACATCTCTTTTTAATGTTTTACCATTTTTTTCTTTTGCCTTTTTAGTGTTAGCCAAAAGTGCTTTTTCTTTCAGGACAGGCGTTTATTTCCTGCACCTCGTATTTTTTCTTTCATATCGTTATTTTTTTGTTTTTATCCGTGATGTAAATGATTTGTCTTTGTGCTATCCTCCCAAAGTGAGTGTGCCTTGCAGGTGACTCGAGTTCAAACGTACACGGAAACACACACTGCTTCACAGTCATGACCACACTTATCTTCTGAAGTGTTTACTGTGATGTTTACCAGATCAAACACTAGAAGGTAAATAAGGATCCTTTATTTTCTCGTTTCCATATAAATGTGTATATACAGAGAAATATATAAATCTATAAGCGGATGTACAGAGTAGGGATTCTTTGGTGTGTGTACTGTATATAAACTGTATATTAATTCAAATTTTAGACTGCCACTGCACTGATTGTGTCCATAGATGAGGGAGAAAGCTACTTGGATAGTACTCAGATTTGTTTGTAAACTCTTCAATATGTTACATACGGGAGCACTGAGAGGCAAGGGGGATCATCAAAATTCTGGTGATACATGTTTCCAATTCTGAAAATACTTTTGTGTTAATGAACAGTTCAAATAAGGTGAATCAGGATAATCTTTCCTTTTTTTAAACAACACACAATATATGTACTTTGTATTTTCAAAGACATTAAAACTCACATGGAAGAAAGCATGAATTAACACAAACTAATTGTACGTGCCATATATGGCGAATATAACCCTGGCAAAACCTGGATGTTCACCTGTTCTCTATTCACAAACTCAGGAGGGAAATCTTTTAGATCAGAATTTGAAAATATGTAATTTAATACGATTGTTTTGTTTTTTTACTTGCCTCTCGGGACCTCCGTAGAAACCAGCAACACATGAAATCAAAAAGGTTCATTGACAAGGGTTTGAACAGCCCACAAGAAAACATCTCCATCGTCTTGAGGCCAGTTTATCACACTAGTGACGTCTGAAACGTGTCCTGCTAAAGAATTAATGAAATAATCTACTTCATTATTCGCCACATATTACCAGATAGGTTTTTAGCACCATTGTGACCTGTAGAGCTGCCATCACATTCTCAGTCCTGCTGGAATAAGTTTGCACTCTGTTCTTATGCCACACCGCTGCTAACGCTGCCGCGGCTTCTAAGCAGTGCATCTGTCTCATTCAGCAAGATTAAAACAAGTCTAAAAGCCATTTGTTATGCATGTGTGCACATACACACAGGTATCGAAACAAAGTATAAGGGCAATAACTTGCCACTAGCCTGGCTAACACAGCCCAACTGTTGGTAGCAGATTCGTTTGTGTTTTAAATTGTTACCTTCTGTTGTTGTTGTGGCGCTGTGATGGTCAGTGGTGTGATGTTGTGAGAGACCGACCCCCCCCCCCCCCCCCCCCCCCCCCCCCCCCTCTGCTTCTGTGAACTATCTGCATGGCGCGCGAGTCGCGCTGCAGCCATGTTTAATGTAACGTGTCCGTTCTGTGTCACGCTCCAATTATTTTTACTATGTAGAGTCATCTGTATGTATATTCATGTCCACTGTATCAGATCTGTTCATGTTTACCATTTTAGTGCAGAAGTGTGTGTGTATTTAATCATGTATATCGTCATTACCCAAGACCAAAATCAGTTTATAGTTTTTTTTCAGTGACTTTTTCCACAAAGTTAACAAAGAACAATTCATCTTACAGCGACGTGCAGCTGTTAAAACCTTCCAGCGACACCTTGTGAAGTCTTTTCAGCATCTTGGCAGTGAAGATCTGTAAATCTACCAGAGTGCTTGTTGTCATTGCATAGTGGTAATGGTATGGTAATATTGACTAACGGTAAACCAACCTTACTTTTGTCATTAAATGTCTCGTTAATAGATCTGTTTACAACGTAGTGCTGTAGGTCAAAATCTATTCATTCTGTGAACTTTGCACTTTAAAAACTGGATTCCCTAGTGACAAAGGCAGCTTTTACAAGGAGAAAATGCCTTATGAGTGTCAGAACCTGACTTTGCATGCTTGTGATGTTGCCGTTCAATAAATGTGTCTGTATCCAGAAATAGTCTGATCTGTTTCTGTTTTTACTTGTTATTGACAATGGGGAAAACGTCATGGAGTGGAATGTTGTTTTCAAATGTGATCTGAATCTGCGTAACATCATCATGCATCATCATACAGTACAATAAAATAAAGAAACACATGCTGGAGTGCTGAGTCAGTTGCAGAGGTCAACACATATTAAGCAATCATTAATGTTAGGTTTCCTTAACAATGCTTGTTGTGTTATTATTTTTACTTGCCTGTAATGACTGAGTGTTGTCACTGTGACAATACTTGCATCAGTACTGTCACCTGAGGGAGGGAGTGGTTTTTCAGAATTAAATGTATCGTGTATTTTAGTGGTGTCTTTTCTCCTACTGTTTCTCTTACTCGTTCACAGTTTTTTTTAGTTTTTTTTTTAGCTTTTCCAGATATTGTGTAGTATTGAAATGAAAGGAGTAGCCTAAAAAGGTAAGGTAGGAAAATATATATTTGTTTTTTTGCCATGCTTATTTCCTGACTGACAAATGCTTCTACCTTGCTTAAAATACAATAAGTACAAATACATGTACATAAATACATAAATGGAGCCATAAGTCATCAGCCTTCCACTTTTGTCATTAATATTATAATACGTATTTAAAGAAATTATGTTTTGTTATTTCAAAATACTGAACATGTTCCTTTCCAGAGCTTTAAGATGCAACCAGCCAATGATCAATGGATACAAATCCATATAGTGCATGTTTTTGTGCTCAATAAATAAAAAATCAGTCAAACCCCATAATTTGTTTGCCATAAACGTAATGATCTTTAATATTATATTAATTTACAAATAGATACAACTCTGTAAATAAACTGGATATATGTTTTTAAAAGCTTTCACACCCACGTCTTGCTATGGAATGGCATGCTCTCTTCTTCAAAATATAAAGATGATTCCCACAAGAAAAACAAGAAATCTCTCAAATCAGACCGGCAGGCTGCGAATGCATTATTATATTTATCAAACAAAAAAACTGCTTTATTTGAGGTTGTAATGCGACCCAGAAAATACATTCATGCTAATGATTGTGACGAGTTAGTTTAAAATAAAGACCTGTGGATACTAACATGCAATGGCTATTAGATTCTCTCGCCTCCATCCTACATTATCCTCTGCACATCCTTCACCATAATGTTCTTGAAGAGCTTGGTCAGCTGCCCCCGAGTTCTCCCCCCCCACTGTTTCTTTAAGCTGCCATTACGTTTAGAAGTCGGGCTCCCCCACCTGAAGTGACTCATCCGATAGGTCCCATCTTTCCTCTCCTGCGGGCCCAACGCTTGAGACTTAGGGCTGACTCTCGCCTTTGGCAACACTTGGATTTGACCCCCTCCATTCAGCTGCCCCCTCATTTCATCCTCGTTGCTGCTCAGCTCCCGGCGCACATGGCGGCGGAAACTGCCCTCAGAGGAGCCCCCTCCCTCCAGACTGGAGGCAAAGACTTTGACAGGCCGGCGTTTACGACCAGTGGGTTTGCCCCAGCGGAAATGCTCCATTGAATAGGAGCGTCGCTCATCGGTGTGGTCTTTCAGATATGACCCTGGTATCTTGTCTTCAGACAACAGGCTGGCCAGGATGATGCTGAGCAAGAGGTCATCGTCGTCATTCACCTTCAAGGCCAATGGACTGAGGGGGAGTTCAGTCTGAATCACTGACATGCAGAGGTGAATACAGTCCTGTGTGGAAGGAAGCAAAGAGAAACATCAACACACATTGAAAACTGTGAGTCATGTGAAGAGGTGATGATGATACCCACGGGTGTAAAATACACTGTGGTTTGATAATAGTAGCGGATGCTTGTTTGTGATCATAATTATGCTTTATTCTTTCATATCTGAGTCACCAAATAAATAGGCCTCATGGACTCCCTTTATAACGGCGTCAATGTGCAAAAACCTCCAACAAAATCTTTAAGATAAAGAAGAAAAACTGAAATATTAGACTATCTCTCATTGGTGTAAATAACAACCTCTTCTTTGTTGATTCAATTTTGGTCCATAAGATGTTGGATAACAAGGAAAAATGCCACAAAAGATATCCCAGAGTCCTCGTTGACATCTTCAGATTTTTCTTAAAGGCCAAAACCCAAATATATTATATTTCAGTCTTGTTGTCTGTTATCTCTCAAATGGATTATTTGTGGAAGAAAACAACCATAACAAAAGATTATTTTGTCCACTGCTATTTCCAGATTTAAGGATAAACCTTGAAGCTTAAAATTGTTCTTTTGATGCTATTCTATTTTATCTTTCACTCTGTTTTCTGTTTGGTCTGAGTCCTATTGGAAGGACTTTTGACTACTTTAGGTGAAATCTTTGTTAGGAACACATTTGCTTTGCCCATAGGGGTGGCAGTTACAAAGAGGAAACACTGTAGTAAGGCAAGAATGAAGATGATAGAGCCGACCGTTTGACCTACCAGTATCCTTCCCTTGTTGCTCAGGCCGTTGCAGATGGGGCATTTTGACCCAAACCCGGGGACGCACACATACGCCATCACCACCACGAACAACCAACATAGACACACCATCTTCAGCCTGGTGTGGAGGACAGATAAACAAGAGAGGCTATGAGGACATGTCCTCAGAACATTGAAGAGGATCAACAGTCCCAATAGGCTAGAATAGTCACATATTCTTGCCTTAATAGGAAGAAATAAATTGTTACTTTTGGGACCAAAAGGTTCTCCTGATGATTGCGCTTGCATAACACTTCCTTACTACCTTACATAACTTGACACGTTTCAACACTTTAACAACTGTAATTGGTGGATTTGCAGCTGTGTCAGTGCTGAATAATAGCCCTGAGTTCAAATGCAATTCATCCACATTCCTTTTCCAAATTCATAGTATTTGAAGAGATCTGCAGCACATCAATCTTATTTAAAATGGAAGATAATGAAAACCATAAATTGTTGTGATTTAGTTCCCAAAGGAGGCTCGACTGAGGTTTGTGGTTACCGATCTTGCGTGACTGTATGAAAATAATCAGTGCTTGGCGAGCAGGGATAGACATGGATCTCAGTAGGGATTGATCAAAGCTCTCTCTCAAAGGACATTTAACCCTTTTCCTGCCCCATTCATTCTTTTTTTTTTACTTCTGTCTTTTATACCCGCGTTAGCGTTTTTAGTTTCATAATTGAACTCTTAACGTATTGTTTGGCTGGACTGCATTTGGGCCCTCCACTTGTTTTCCTGTATACAGCTAAAACTTCACACTCATATTATTTTACTTGAAAAACATGGTAGTGTTTTTTTTCTGAGAGGCAGCCAAAGCAAATGCCATGTATTGATCACTGCAGTCTGTGATGCTTCATCAAAATAAGCCACTGAGTTGTTGTTTGGAAAACAATGTGTGCTGTCAGAAGCATGCAGTTAAAGTTAGACATGGGATAAACAACAGACGACTTCATTTAAACAACGTGAGTTTGTTTGGCAGTATTTATGAAAAGGCTGCTCAGAGTTCAATACAGGACTGGATAAGAAAGGATTATGACTCTAACCCATACCTGGAAAATTCAACTTTAGTCTTGATTTACGCGGCTGACGTTAAAAAACGATGATGATAACCACAGATGGAAATTAGCTATTAGCTATAATCTGGCATATTGCATCTCTTCTCTTTGCTGAGATTAATATTTTTGTATGCATGGTCCTTCTATAAATAAATACAAATACAAAAAACTACTCATTAAGTAGCTTTTGTTTAAAAAAAAAAGAGAGCAGCTGTCAATCTATTCAGTTATGTTTCACATTAAATTGGCTGTACATAATCCCTCTTTTACTGTGAACAATGTATGATTAATTTATTAACATAATACAAATGATAAATTAGTTGGTTATCACTGTGTGGGATGTTTTTTAGGTCAAGGAGAAAGCAAATATGAATGGCTTGCTTAAAAGAAAATACTATTATTTTTAGAATTTTAGACAGTGTGAGAGGGGCGTGACATGCCACAAAGGCCATTATCCATCCACATATGTTGTGGTTATGCACGCACTGTAACCACTCAGATTTTTTAAAAGTAGTAAAAGAAGGCACAATAGGGAGAGCCAACAGTTAAAGGTCAGTGAGGTGAAAGGGTCATTTTGTGAGCGGCCAGCCAACATTTGTGCTGTTTCAAGGACAATGCTACATGCACATACATTGCAAGAAAACACATGGGTGTTGTAAGAAGCTGCATTCACCCGGGGGGCCACACTCAGTGCAGATAAATTACTTTAATTGTTGAGGAAGATGGACAAACAAATTCTTTCAGCAGCCCTGAATGACTGCCTTTATGACGCATCTCCACGAGGAAAACGCCCCCCCCCCACCCCTCATCTCTTGCTGCTTTGTTTATTATCACATCCTAATCACTCGCTTCTCATGTTAAAACCATCGACTTTATCAACAGGATTTAATTTGAAGATGCTGGCTAACGGAGAAAAATAAAACAAAATTGATACTCGTTTTAACCGCTTGTTTTTAGTTGTTAAGGTTTTACATCTCGTCTCTATGTGCAGCGAGTTTTCTCTCCTTTATTGGGTCATTGTATCCTTTTGTTTCTTCCTCGCTTCTCTATTTTTCCAAGGAGCGACTCCTTGGTGGGCCATCATCTTTGTAACTCTGGCAGAGAGTCTTCCTACAGTATGACTCACTCAGCTCTCTGCAGGCATTATCTGATAACAGAGAGCTGCGATCAAAATAGATTCAAACCGTATGTGTTAACAATCTAAAGAGTTATTTAAATAGTCTGTTAGTTAGATTTGTTTATGGAAGATTTTTTCAATGAAAAGCAATTGAAATATCAGCAAGGAAAACTGTGCATATTCTACAACAAGCTGAGTTGAGACTATACAATACAAACATCTACAACAATTATGATTTACAGAGAAAATGCAGCTGTACATGTACAAAATCCCAAATAAGGTAAGAGTGTGTAATCAATTGCTCAGAAAAAACGACAACCAGGAACAATTTTGTTTCATGCCAAAAAAAGCATCCATTGACAAGTTTAAGACAATTTGTTTTTACCTTTTCCAAAAGCGTTCCTTTCCTGTATTCTTGCTTTTTCTCCGTTTGTCCACAGATCTTCCAGAGTGGCGACACTTAACTGTGATCCCTCTCCTCCTCCTCTGCTTTCTCTGTGCTCTGTGCTGAAATGCTCAGTATAGGAGAAGGTCTGCTGTTGCTTCCTCAGAGGAGGAAAGCTCTTTTTATAGACGCGCAAAGTGTGGAGGTCGGAGTCTCAAGGCATCTGGGTGTGATCGAGGTAAGGGGTCTCCTGTTCCTCTCTGGATGGAAGGGAGTGTGTATGGTAAAGGGTTTCAAGTCC